CTCTGTCTCAGGTTCCTCTGCCCCTGCCCGACCCCTTGGTTAAAGGGGATATGCTGTGGTGAGGCCACATCCCTTACCCCAATCCTCAGGATGGGATCAAGCTTTCTGACCCAACTCTTCAGCCTTCTGTAGCTGGTTCTTGTCCCCCCACCAAAAAACTTGTTTCTCTTTTCTCATTACTAGGAACTTTCTGTTTCTGCATCACCCTCCTTGAAGGGAAGCTGAAGGAGGTATTTCCCACTTTCGGCCAACACTGTCCAAAGATACTGCCAGTAAAAGAAAGAAAAAAAAGAAAACTCCCAGCCGTGTAGTTTACTTACCAGCAGTAAATAGAAATTTCATTGCAAACCAATATACACATTACTTTCCAACTGATTCTCAAAATTATCCTCCAGCTCCACAAGATTGTCTCCTAATAGAAGAAAATAGAGCAGCTTAAGACACGTTACTTCTTGCCTCCAGAGTTCTTAATGCATTGTACAAGACAGTAGACTGATATAACATCCAATGGGTTTTACATATACAGCAAGCAAAACTTGGAAGCATCTACACAGTAAGAGAAATAGAAAAGAATATTTTAAGCACCAGGGACAACTGCTTAATAGAAAAACATTCTCTTTAAATAATACTGCATCTATATATAATCAATAAATTGTACTGTATCTTATATACAAACATGCACACAAAAATATCTGCAAAATAATGAGTGAAACAGCCAGAACCTTCCATCTCTGCATTGGATTTCTCAATTCTAACTGGCAAAGTCATGGCATTAATATAATTTTCCCTCCCTTTAACTCATCAATCGTCTTAGAATAACCACCTTTTCCCTTCAGAGTATGTGTGTCAGGGGTTAGGGAAATATTTCAACTGAGAAAAAAGAAATCCTTTACTCAACAGACTCAAATAGCCACAAAATATGATCATACCACCTACTGTATGAGTTTAAAGGCGGTTTTCAGGACCAGTTAAATCATCATACTTCCTTTACCTCCGTCTTCTTTGGAGATGTATACACACCCACACCCCCACGTACATTTTAAACAGGGATAAACTTATCTGGTTAAGACAGATTTTATTTACCACACAAAGATTAAGAAATCCAATCTCTGCAGTTCTGAGAGTGTTGAAATAAAATGCCCCACAGAATACAGGAGTAATCAGCACAGCAATTAGAAAAGAAAGATTTAAAACACAGAGGAGTCCTCCTCTACTAGGAAGGAAAAAAAAAGGGCAAGCAAAAAAATTTCCCATTCCTCTGAAATACTGATTATATCAGTAAGTACAAAATTCAATCTTCCAAAGAGAAAAGTTTGAGTAATGCATTTCTGAACAGAAGAAATATGTCCTTCTGTGCTGATGAATGGGTGGCAGATACAGCGGGGGCAAAGGAGTCTCCTGCCGTATTACCTGCCCTTACACGTCTCCCTCCTGTAACGCATAAATTAAAAATTGTGTGGCTCCACAGTGTCAAACAAGGGAAAGAAGTGCACCTGAGAGAAGGTGGGTTAACTGACTTCCTCCCAAGCAGCGTTACGTGCTCAGGGGTGAGCAGGCTGCCCATTTGGGTCTGCAGAGAAACAAGCTAGCAGCAGACAACAGCACTGACTATGTCTTTCTGCTCCCCTACCCACTGGGGGATGGTGGTGCCAAGGGGAAAGCAAGGATGCCGAGCTTCGATCTGACAGCCCCATGGTCCTTATGATCTGCTTCCATATATAAACTGGAACAAAAATAAATAAATAAGCAATTTCTGAAGCATCTTCAGAACTGCCTTGGCACAGCTCTGCTGTCCCTGATGTCTCAGGACTCTGAGGCAGCATTTTGGAGTAGACGGCAGGGAGCGGGTAGAGTGATTATGCACTTTACTAATAGTAGAACATTTTATAAAGGAACATTATTTCCCACTGTAGTCACGATACCAGACACCTCCAAGTAAATGCCAAAAGAATTGCCCACTTTCCACTCAATGGTCTTCTTGTGTACATGACAGTTGCTCCAATCTCAGTTAATGACATTTTATCACTTGAGCTTAAATAAACGCATCTCCCACATATGTGACTCCTTCCCTTCTTGGGAAAGTTATTTTGGCTGGCACTTCTTGTCTTTTATGAAGAAAAGAGGCTTTTCCAGGAGGTTGGATGCTGAAGGGAAATTGCCTGCCTTTTTTGTTTTTGCAAGCAGTATTTCTGCTTAAGAAGGCATGGTTTTTCAATTACAGAAAAAAAAGTACTGAAATTGTTTAATCCTCTTATTTCCACATGCATGAAACTCTGCACAGTCTTCTGGATTTACTGTACTTTTTAGACTATAACTACCCGTTGAATATAAATTGAATTTCTGCCATAAAGACATCAATGAGAGGCCAGAGGATTAGGCAACAAGCATCCCATCTTTCCCATTTTTATACACACGCAGAAACTTCACTGCACTCTATTCTCTTACCTCTATGACAACAATTCTATTTCCCCCACCCCAATCTATCTCCTGCCTACCAGCACAAACTGAACTACATGGAAGGAAAAAAAAAATAATTTAAATGCCTAATTAAAACCATCAAACATTCCAGTTGGTAGTTGGCATCATTGTATATCATAATTTTTTTGCATTTCCTTCATCAGATAACAGATCTTTGGTATAATGTGCTGTGAAGCACAGTTACTAATATCCTCCTAGGATCTGGAATATTTTGAACGTGACCCAAACATTTAGCAGACATTTTCTCTCGAGATGAAACTTAGTGTCCAATTAACATTTTGAATAGCCTCAATAACTACTGCAAAGAACACTACAATGATAATTGTATCCATTAGACTTCTATGCTTCAAGCATCTTTTATCTGCCTATGACTCTACAGTGGCCTTCAACTGGGCTTTAAATACCACGATAAAAAACAATAAACAAGAACACTGTTACAGTTAATTCTCAATAGTACAGAGACTTTCAAAAATATCTTTGATTAAGGTAAGACAGATGATTTTTACTCTATATTAACACAGATATCCATTGTTTGGACATGGGAACAATACTCCCCAAATTGTTTAATCATCTCGGGCTTCGTCCTTTACAAACTGTCTTCAAAACACGAAAAGGGTTATCCTCTGTAACAAAGGCAGTATCACTTTATTAACAGCACAAGAAAGCAAAGAGACAAGGATCACACTTAGCTTATTTGCTTTAAGAATATTTTCTGCATCACATCATCTCTGTAGGCATTTATGAGACTAAACAGATTATAATACAGTCAAATATATATATAAATAAATATATATATATTCAGTTTGTGGGGCTATTTTGCATAACATATATAGGTACAGGCCACAAGCTGTACACTCCTCAACCCAATCTATTTTGGGTCTCCAAAACCACTGGCCTATCTACCTGAAGAATTGTTCTTTGAAAAACAAGGAGAGCACCTTTGCTTTCAATGTATTTTATGATGCCTATTAATTCAAAGAGAGGACTATTTCTGTCACCATCTGAGAAAAGAGGCTTTGCTGCTTGTCTGGGCAAGTGAAGGGGTGGGCACTCTCTCAGGCTCTATCACTTTGGTCAGGAGTTAATGGAAACAAGCAACAGCTGAGACATACGTACAGCACTCCAGTCATCTCTGCGTTGTGCTTATTCCTCACCTTTCAGGCAGTCTGATACTCACAGCTCTTCATATATTTAAAAGCAAGTTAAAGACTGCACAGAAGCCTGAAATGGCCTAATGGGACAAAAAGCTTTTCTTTCCAGCCCTGGCAGACTACAAGAATAATTAATTTTTCAAGCCTTTGGGAGCTAGATGAAAATAATAATGAACAAACTGGCATGGGCAATTATATAAATGAAAAAATGCAAAACCCCCGTATATATAAAAGAAAAACAGAAATAAAATGTTTCCCTTCTCCTATAGTAGCTTATTGTACAGTAGCCCAGCTATGCAGGCCTATAGCCTACAATACATTTCACAGCGCTTGGACTGATACCGGTTGCAGTGACACAGGTAGGACTGCTGCTCACTAGAATACACCCTTTTTTTATTATTTTTTTTTTTTTTCTGATTTCAGACTATACCCCAACTGTCTCTCGCATATAAAAATCAGACCACAGCTTCATTTATATTTACGGCTGAGAGAAGGTGGTGAACACCAGAGGACACAGCTTGCAGGCACAGCGAACACCAAGGCTATCTGTTGCGGTGAGGTTCCTGTGGGAGCCCACACCACAGCTCGGGGACAGCCCCCCATCAGCTCTTGCTCATGCACCACACGCAAGCTTTACTGATGGCACACACATCTACAGGGGTTTCCACTGGGAAGCAAGGGTTCAGTGGTAACATGCACAGTAATAAAAACTTCCCAGTCCACTAAAATGCAGCAGAACATACGCAAGTCAGTAAGGAGGACAACCAGTGTGAGGAACTCTAGCTTGGGGAGAGGAAGGTGGCAGATGAATGGATCTGATACTGCATTAAGTAGAGTGGAAGAAGAGAAAGTTTAAAGGATTTTTTTCCGTGTTTTACGGGTCTCTTGAAGTGGAAAGTCAGTTTTAGACTGGTGCCATCTATCAACATCCCCAGCAATTAAATAGTACGGTCTTTCAAAGTATTTAGTCGCAGTTTTTGATTTAGAGTACATCTCTAAACAAATATCTCAAGAACTAGTATAGACAGCAATTTTGCATTTAACAATCTGCATCTTTTTGTTACTTTTGAAATACATAGTAGCAATCAGAAAACAATCCCTTTCTCACATCTCTCGGGTGAGGCAGAACTCTAAAAATGCACATTTCTTTCAGCCTAACAAACAGGTGCCTCCACCTACAGAAAGGTCATCTGGGTGAGGTGAAGGGTCAGAAAAATATTTCCCTATTATAAATCCCACCACCCCATCTGTCCTCCCCTCCCACCCCATACAAAACTAGCAAGGGTGCTTTACACTACCTGGAGTTTCCCTTGCCTGTGGTGAGACCTCCAGACAGGCAGTTTAACCAAATAGACTCTTTCAGGAACATACCTTTTGAGGCTGAAGATCTCCACTTGCTGCTCCTGTTCCCTGAGGGTTTGTTGGCAAAGGGTAACTAGAGTTTTGCTTCTTGGCAGCTTAAGCACCTGCTGACAGCAGCCGCAGCCTTTGGTGTCACATTTTGCCATTGTCGCCAAGTGATGACACACAGGGACCAGTGACACAGTGCTGATGCTCAGCCCACAGCAATTTCCCAAATACCAAAACCAGGGTTTGCTGCTTTCAAGACTGAGGAAACCCGTTCCACAGGTCGGTGTTAAAGGACAGTTCTGCAGATGAGGCTGCTGAGGACTGTGGGGTAAAGCTGAGGACTGTGGGGTAAACCTTTGACAGCCTCAAAAGCAGCGATGAAAAAGTCAAGAGGGGGGTATGGGATACTTGTATTTTAAATTTAGACCTTTTTCCAACATAGTACCCAAGAACAACCTTGTGTGTTTCTTTTTATATGGCTGCTTATCCATTTACAAAAAGTTTCCTTTCTCCTAACTGTCACTAAAAATAATTATAAGTACAGCAGTAACTATAAATTTTGTAGAGACAGTTCATGTCAAAAAGGACCACCCCTATGCAAAGGATTGACAGAATGAACCCCGACCTCCAGAAGGTCCCTACTACCCCAAATCAGACTTATTTCTGCAAGAAACTTAAAGACCAACCTAGAGTAAACCCATAAAAGCAAGTGATTTTCCTGGGTGCAGTTCCACATCCCTGAGACCTGAACTGGGTTAACTGCTTCCCCCCATCCCTGCAAACAGTGAGTTCATACTCTGCTCCCTGGGAAGGACCCGTGGGTGGTTTACGTAGCGCTTCTGCTCATCCCCCTCACCCTCTTCACCTCTGGCCTTCAGCTGTGGTAGTTAAGCCAGAGGAAGAAAGGATTACAGCAAACTTTTTCAATATCCAGCTCTATCTGCATACCCAGGACAAATTCCAATGCAGCAGAAACCAGTATTAGCACTATTTTTAAAAAAGGAAAAGCTGGATCCCACTCAGCATCTCATTTATTAGATCACAGATGTTCTTAACATACATTGGCAAAGGAGGACACAATCAGCAAAATGCACATGTATTTGCAACCAGCACTGCACTGAAAAAGGCAACACATTTTTTATGTCATATCAGTCAAGTGCACAGAGGTCTACCAATCACAACCTGCAATCACACTGAACATATTGGTTGCCTTAGGCAACTGCCTTTTTTGCCTCAGCAAAAGAGATAACTCAGGTATTGGATCAGATAACCTGTAAAATTTCTGTCAATAAAAGCCTGTATGTCGGGCTTTTATCCTCCCATCAAATCAAGAAATAACTACGCTGAACCAAAGGCTCAGGGTTCAGCTCAAGCAATAAGCCCTCACGAACCTGACTCATCAGCTGAGCAAAGAGGCGGCTGAGCCTTGACCACCCCTCCGGGTGTCTTTACCGCCTTCTCTGCTGGGGTTTACTGCTCCTGCCAACACTCCACAACCCACCTCCAGCCTGCTGCCTGCTCGCTCCCAGCCAAACCAGCCTCCTCCAGTGACCAAGGCTGAATCGCCAGCCAACACAGCCGAGCCACAAACACCACGCTATCCTGATGACTGTTACAAAGAGATGGTTATTCTGGTGGACAGTGCAGGCAGGCAGCTCAAAGCAGGCTATCCTAAGATATGCTGGTTTTCCTGTGGGAGATGCTTGAAGGCTTTTGCCTCGCTCAGCAAAGTGCGAAGCAGCACAGTGCAAGCACAATGCTAGGTCGGGTTCAGAGACCTGCTCCCATTCCCAACTCTCTCATGCACTGGCTGTGAGGTTTTGAGAAAGTTGCTTCCACTCAGGACAAATTTCCAATTTATAATCTTGGCAAAAATGGGTAAAACCCGTATCAATAGGCCCTAGATAAGCCAGCCACAAGAAAAGTCTCACTCCCAGTGAAGACTCTTAAAACCTTTAAGTAAAAGTGTCAGGAGATCAAATACAAAAGTTTCCTCTCCACCATCTAGAAATTCAGGCAAGGATAACATAACAGCTTGCCATTTTGTTGTCTTTGTCTTTTTGGACAGCAGCATTTGTAGGTGCCACAGGAAAAGGGAATTGAGGAAGATGTGATTTAAAACTGTTGTTCCTCCATGAAGTTCTGCCGTAACGTGGTTTCAGGAGGTGAAACTACAGCTTCCACGTATTGTCTCAACAGTTATTTCTCTATTGCTGCACTCAGTAGCAGAAACCGCCTGCGTTGTTCTGGAGAGATGTCAGGATGTGAGGTGGTAAACTCGGCTATTAGTAATGTTAACTCAGTGTCTGATCAAAGACTCTAAAGAACAGAGAGAGGCATGAAGAAAAAGAAACTAAAGATGATACAAAAGAAAAGGACGCTCCAGATTTGGCTTGGGTTATTTTTTAGGAGGGGGTGTGTGGTGTTTTTTTTGTAGTTTTGTTTTTCTTTTTTTGTTTTAAGCAGAAACGTAAGGCTCAGGTTTGTTGCACCCTTATCCCGGATGCTATCCCACCTCCCAGTTTACAGTCCACAAAAAATGCAGTGCGTGCTAATACCTCAGCTGCTCTGGTTCACATTCAGCTCAGTGTAGACGGCTCACGAAAGTTAATTTATGCTAAGATGTTTAAGCGTAAATCAAAGCAGCTAAGGCACAGGAGCTCTTTCCAATTTGCCAGCAGTGCTTTGGGGGTTTGTTCAAGTCAGCAGCCTTCTCCCAGCTTTGCAGGCAGGTTTTACAGCTTGCACTAAGCTGCAGGCTGCCCTGACCACAAGGCATTTACCTGGTTAGCTTTCTGCCAGCCGCACTCTGCATGTGATCTATGTGTATCTTGATGTGGTTTCTCCACTCAGCAAAACACAGGTTGAAGGTCTGAATGCTGCAGCAGCACAGGGCAGACACCAGACACGGTTATAAGAGAGCTGTCTTGTACTGTACAAGATTTCTTGTGTGCAACTTTGATATTAATCAAGTCTCAAGATATTTCAAGAGAAAACTCTTCAATACCCACAGGAAAAAACAAATTTGAGAGAGAAGAGACTGAAGTGGTTAGAGTGTCCTTTTAGCTTCCTGGTCCTCACTTTAACCAGCAGCTTCTTTCAGTGGGTAACTTCAGAAGAGGTGATCAAGGAGAGACGACATGGCAAGTGGCTTTGCCATTTTGCAAGCTAAGGAATTTGAACAATTCCTCAGAGTAAACCTGCATCTGTTTTCTGGAGTCTGATCAGCAGAGATCGAGCAATAGTCTCTCCCCAAAAGGCAGTACTGATGCTCAAGAAAAAAAATATAAAAAAATGCAAGTGCCATGGAAAGCACCTGGTATCCACTGAGTATTAGACAAATAACCACTTCCTACCCAATCAATATTTCCACAAAACATGCAGTAACTGTCAAACTTAGTTTGAAACCCATTGACTGTTTTCAACCAAGTAAGGAGATGTACACAGAGCATTCACACAGACCTTGTTTCCATAGAAAACTCAGTAAATAATTGATCAGAACAATGGCAAAGATTAAATAAAAAAAGAAGAGTAGTTAATGCAGACCAGACTATAGAGTTCAACAGGAATGGCAAGTTGGTTTCTTTGTGGTGGGTTTCGGGTTTTTTTGTTTGTTTGTTTTTAAGAACTAGGGGAAACAATGTGGTTTTACTAAGTAGATAACTACAGAATGAAGAATCACACAAAGCTGCACTGTAACTCCAGTGTAGCGTAATTGAGATAACGCCCCAAACACCAGGTTTCAATGCTTTGCTTCCAGCTTCCTTTAAAGCTTAAAAAAGTATTAATCAGAAATCTGATATCCACACACAGCTAGACACAACCATTACTACAACAGATTCAGCATGATGCAATTTGTCTAAATTCCTGGTACTCATTTGCACACCTTCTTGTTGAAGATATACTCCTAAACAAGTACAGACTGTATCTTGTACCTCATTAAATAAAGTAGAAATATTGCCCAAATGAAAATAGATTTGTACAACTCATTAAAGAAAAGCTGCCTGAGTTGCACACTTTTTCCCACACTATCACACTAACTTTTACAAAAAATACTCTTAAACACATCCTAGAAGATCCTCCTCCTCTTTTCAAAGCTAACACCGCACATGGCAGGAAGAGGGGGTTACTTAATATAAACACCCAAATTCAGCTCTGCCGTAACACGTTTGTTTTTTATATGATGCTTTCAAAGAAAAGAACTACAGGCATATTAAGCTGAAATTAATATATTCAATCTTTTTCTACATCTACTATACTGTTTTACATTTCTATACTGGTAAACCATAATATGTGATGACAAACATTAAACACACAATGTGTCTTGTAAGCATTTCAGGTCCAGAATGGGAGATGTGCTAGGGGAGATACTCAATAGAAACTTTAAGTAGAAGAGCTTGGAGGACACAGAGGTAAATGACTTCATCTCCCACACCAGTGAGATAACAGGCCAGTGTCCAGTAAAAGAAACGAGGATGGAAAAGTCAGGACATTCTTCATGTTTTAGGCAGGCAGGGGAAAATAACTGCAGGGAAAAAAGCGCAGCCATTCTCACCAGCTCTGGCAAATGCCTTCAGAAGGACATACTACCTTGAAGAAGGATACAGGGTACAGAAGGAAGATGTAGCTTTAGAGACTCTCTGGGACATGCCAGCCCAGCTGCAGGGTTTATTAGCCACCATCACAAGGTAGTTAAGATACTGAAGTAGCTAAGAAAGAATCTCACGCTAAAAAAAACCCACAACAAAACAACAAAAAAACCAACAACCAAAACACACCAACAAAAAACCCCACGACTTATGTCTAAGCATAACCCTAAAAATACATTTTGATGTGTCATCTTTTTACAACTTTGAAAACAAACTTTTCCTATAGTGGATAAAAAAACCCGTATTTTTTACCCCTAAACTTCTCCTTAGAACCAGTCTGACCTCAGGACATCTGGTACACAACAAGGCATCCCACCGGCAAGGACATGAACGATTCTTGTGATGTTCAAGTCTCAGTTGAGTTCAAGGGTTCTCGGAGGATAACAGCATGCTCCTTTACTAAACTATCAGTCATGCACGGATGGCATGGGTCATTGCAGGGATCTGGGTGGAGAAGGGGGTCATGTGATAAGCCGTGGGCACGTCACCTCCTTGGTACTCAACAGTTC